ACTCGCATCAAATTCAAGTCACTGTTGTTTTTCTACAGATCAACCACTGGCTCTGCTCCTCTACACCTAAACTCACTACTTGAGACTTACACGCCATCCAGAAACTTGCGCTCTGCAAGTGAACGCCGTCTTGGGGTGCATCATCTCAAAGAGGCAGAGAATCTCTTTCTCGAACCTTCACCTGGACTGTTCCCTGCTGGAGGAATGAGCTGCCGAACTCAACCCGAGCGGCTGAGTCCTGGCCATTCTCAAGACACGGCTGAAGACACATCTTTTTCGGCAACACTTGATCCATTAATACTAACACTTTCTCTTCTCTTCTCTTCTCTTCTCTTCTCTTCTATTCTATATCTATTAATATATATATATTTTTTTTTTAAAGTACATGTACTACATTAGATTCAACTGGGAAGGGTCATAGCACTTTCATATTGTTGTCCTATAGTTTAACTGCTTCTATTGCTCTAATTTGTAAGTCGCTTTGGATAAAAGCGTCTGCTAAATGAATAAATGTAAATGTAAATATGTAAATATTACCAACATGTGATTTTATATAGTTTATTCTCTTTATTATGCACATAAATGGACTGTGGTGAACATATTTAACTCAAATCTGTCATTGAGACGCAGATGTAGTTAGAAACAATTTGCAAATATTGTGAAACTCAATTTTGTTAGTTTAAATTTTCCAAATAACCAGTGGTGGAATGTAACGAAATACATTTACTCTGTATTTAAGTATAAAACTGAAGTACTTTATATTCAACTCCACTTAATCTCAGAGGCAAGTATTGTACTTTTTTTTAAAGGAAAAACTGATTTTTACACAAAGATTTTTGATTTAGATATAAGATAATGTTTAAAAACACATGAAGACTATATAAGACAAACACTAAAAATATGGTCTTATAGATCAGGGACAGGCGATGATGTTCAGGAGATCTGCTTGGTTTTCCATGTTAAAAATATTTTATGGCTTGATTTTTGAGGTTGTGAGTTTAACTTTTATTCTTCCTGAAAACATCTCAGTGACACAATACACACTGATCCCAAAGTGATTGAGTGTTTGTGTGTGTGCGTGCGTGCGTGCGTGCGTGTGTGTGTGTGTGTGTGTGTGCGAGCGTGTTTGTGTGTGTGTGTGTGTGTGTGTGTGTGTGTGTGTGTGTGTGTGTGTGTGTGTGTGTGTGTGTGTGTGTGTGTGTGTGTGTGTGTGTGTGTGTGTGTGTGCAACATCTACACAAAATCCAGCAGTCAGTGCAACTGATTTTTTGAGAACTGAGAGTCATTTATTTGTTCCCAGAGGTGAGATCAGTGTTTATCAGATAATCCACTGAATAAGACAGCAGTGAAGCCACACACTGGAGGATCCTGAAGCGGACAGAACAAAGTCCAACACACAGGCAGAGGTCAGCAGAAGCAAACAAACAAACATTAACTACAAGATGATGAGGGAAAATAAATGTTTTAAAGGCAGCAGTAGTCTAGACCAGCGGGGCTTACATTACAACTGACATAAAGCTGCAGACTGAAGAAACACAAGGACATCATAAACAAACAGCCAACAGAGAGAGAGTTAAACAGAGAGTTGAACAGAGAGAGTTAAACACAGAGAGAGTTAAACAGAGTTAAACAGAGCGAGTTGAACTGAGGGCCTCTGGTGGCCGACAGGGGAACTACACCAGCAGAGCGCGGACAGGGAACGGTCTGGTAATGATATGAGCACACGTTCTTACAGTAACAGTAGTAGAACGTTCATTCAGAGTTATCTGGTCTTTAAAATGCTCTCAAAACGTTAGTGTTGTATCTTACATTAGTTCCAATAAAAGAAAACGCAGAAGTAACGCGTGCAGTAGCTCAACACTCCAGGATAATAGCGACCCCTAGTGGCAGAGCATTTTTTCTTTCTTTTTTTTATTAACAAGACATGTGGCATATACAAAGTAATAGACAAATGACATATACACACAAGTGCACATAGAGGGGAGAAAAACAAACAGCTAAATATATAGATGTATAGATAGTGTATACAGGTACAGTAATCATTTTAATGAATATTTTGATTATATATATTCTTTAGTGATTAACAGATATCTAGACAATTTGAAACAATCATAAAAATAATAATATTTGTAGTAACAGTAGTAATAATAATAATCAAGCGTAGCATCAGTTCTGGCACAATAGTTGTCCTGACAGAAGTGACAGTAGTACAGCAGTAATATTAACAATACTAATACTGACAATAATAATAAATAATTTCAGTATAATGCGACTTTAGACCAGTCCGTAAAATAATTGCAGACTATCACTACTGTCTAGTTCTGGGAGAGCATATTAACAGCGTAACAGTTTAAGCCAACACAACATTTAGCATTATTAAACATTATTTATAAATCATTCATGCAATGTTTATTTTTTCCGAAAAAACTTTTAGTTGGACGTCCATCTAATGTTTTTTAAATGTTGCTGCTTGTTTCAGAACGTTCCCATTATGTTTGAAGATTTATAAAATTGAATGTTTTCTTTACGTTCATTTAACCACAAAAAGAGCAGCAGTGTCGGCCCAGATCCGGCCCACATCTGGCACACGGGAGTCCACTTCTGGGTCGGCACTATGTTGTTGTTTGGGGTATATATAACTTATTTTTTTTAACTGGATGCTTCAGACATTTAGAGAACATTCCATAATAACGTTTTGATAACTTAATGGGAACATTAGCAGAAGGTTCTTGGAACACAGGTTTGTTATCTGGGAAGTGGGATGGGGAGCCACAAGAAGAAAAATCACATGACATTTCTGTAAAGTTTCTATGTCTCAGGTTTAACACTGAGGAGACTCTGAGACACCAGAACAGCGCACTACTGAGATCATTGTAACACAATACATCATGTTAAAAAGCTAATGCTGGAGCTAAGCAGTTTTTGGTAATTTTGGTCCTATTGGGTCAGTGTGAAGTGAAGTTAACGGGGGCTCATATGTGCCGTGAAATTATCATTTGATAAATCAATCAACTGAGCAATCATTTATAAACCGGTGGATGAATGGATAAAAATGAATAAACTCAGTTAAATGAAGCAATCACTGAATTACGGTCACATTTAGGCTATGTCTTCTGGGACTTTTAGTTTATTTTGTTCCTACTTTCTGTGTTTGTTTCCTTGGTTACCCATTAGTTTCACCTGTGTCTGCTTCCATTTGTTTGTCATCTTGTGTGTATATAATCTGTGATTTCTTTAGTTCCTTCTCAGTTATTGTCCTAGCATGTTCTGCTGCTGTTTCCCTCTAGGATTACATGTTTATCCCTCGTTTGCTAGGGATGATGCCTTGTGATTAATGATGCAGGTCTGAGTAAACATAAGCTGACACGGATGAATGATGTCCTTCCAGACCAGATTTACACTGAAGTAATGGAGGCAAAGGCTGAAGGTTGAGATATTCTACCCGAGCTGCAGAAAAGACTCAAACATTAGGTACGTACGTTATTAGGTACGCCTTGCTAGTTCCAGGTTGGACCCTTTTTACGCCAAATTCCAACCACTATCGAGCAACATAGCAACCACTGTCAAGCACCCTAGCAACCCAAATCCAAAGAGGAATATCTTCAAATCTGAACGTCATAGAGGAGTTGTGGTTGATTTATATCATTCATACTGACAAGCAGATTTTGGAGTAACATCATCACTGTCAGTGATGCCAAGCCACTCCCTAGCAACTAAACCGAGTACCCTAGCAACCGTTCAGGAAGACCTATATCTCTGCATCAGAGCATCGTATAGAGATGGGGGCTGGCTCTTTTGACTTATTCTAGCAAACTGTACTTCCAACATGCTACACATGCAAGCAGTGATGATTAGCTAAGTGTTAAATCAGGCTGAGAACATGCTAAAAACTCCATAGTAACCATCTGTGACAACTTCCAACTGCCTAGCAACACCATTGCAACCACCCAGAAAACCCTAGCAACTGCCTAGCAATGTCCCAACAACCACTCAGAATACCGTAGCAACCGCCAAACTATCGCCCAGAACACCTTAGAAACCACTAAACAACACCCTAGCAACCACCCAGAACAACTTAGCAACACCCTAGCAACAACCAGGGTACCATAGCAACCACCTAGCAACACCCTAGCAACCACACAGGATATCCTAGCAACCACTTTGCAACACCATAGCAACACCCTAACAACCACCCAGAATACCTTAGTAACCGCCTAGAAACCACGCCAAGTACCGTATCAACCACATAGCAACACCTTAGCAACACCCTGGATCCACTGGATATTTCCTCTTTCTCTCAGACCATCCTAAACACTAGAGATGGCTGTGCCTGAAACCCCAGTAGATCAGCTGTTTCTGAAACACTCATCCATATGCCAGGTTCAGTCACTTAAATCACATTTCTTCCTCATTCTGATGCTCAGGTGATCATGTCTACATTCCTAAATGTATTGAGTTGTTGCCCTGTGGTTGGCTGATTAGACAGTTGCATTAACCAGCAGTTGAACAGGTGTACCTAATAAAGTGGCCGGTGAGAGAAAACGTGAGCTAATCTCATCATTGACCTGTATTATCAAACAGCTAATCAGAGCTGGTCCAGATTCATAATGTTTTTAGCTTTTATCTGCTACCAAACCACAGCCTTCTGATTGGTTGAAGAAAAGCTGTTTGTTTGTTTTCTGGAAGTTTGGATTAACAAAAATCTGCACATGACAAGAGCGAGACCAATGATTGTTTCATTGGAAAATACCTGAGATGCATGAAGTTCACAGGAAATCAGGCAAAGCAAAGAATGACTCACCAACATTACTGAGACCGACTGATAAGCATCTAACGTGTTGCTCTTATGCAAATATGCCACTATAAGACACCTCAGCGTATTGAGCTGCAGAAAGATGCTAGATTAGTTCTTCTGCAGTGCTTTTGTTAAGTTGTTTGTCCCAGCAGGAATAATTACTCTGTGACTAATAACTGGTGTATAGCAGGTTTCAGTGGAGTAACTGACATCAGAAGCGTCGGATCGACGAGGTGTGACTGAGGTCGGCCCCTCAATACCACAGAAATCCTCCTGCGGTTGGAAGGAAACCCTCCAAACCGGTTTGTGCAGGTACGAGGACGCTGAGATTTCAATTTTGACTCCAGCAGAGCGAGTGAGGTGTGATGTTTCCTATTGCTAATGTGACTGTCAGTGATGTGTTTCAGTGAGCTGTGTGCTGCTCATGACTGCATCGAGTGAACACCTGGGGGATTCAGGAGTGAAACACACTCACACCAGAACTGAAGATGCATCAGGGACGCCTGCGCTTACGGCCGTGGCTGGAGGAACAGATCGATTCGGGCAGATACCCTGGAGTCGTGTGGCTGGACGAGGTCAGATCTGATGCTCCACACTAATAGGGTTTGATTCATATCACTGTAAAAAAATTATCGTGATTTTAATGGTAAAAGACTGTAAAAATGCTACTATTAATTGGTTAACAAAAAGTTTTCGTACTATATAAGGTGAATAACTGTGATAGATCTAAACGCACATTTAAGCTAATTTTACAGTAAAATACCGGGAAGTGGATGTGAAAAAGAACAAGTCATTGTTTAATTGTGTGAAAAAAACGTAAATTGACAAATTTCCCACAATTCCCTGCATGACACTTCACATTTGATGTATTTTTTTGTTGTTGAAATAACTAAGATTCTTCTAAGATCAGTTATGTACATTAGGGATTTACGTTACATTTAATGTTGTCAAATTAATGTTTATTGCATTTTTTAATTTCATGTGTGTTACCATAGTGTTTGTGTGTATGGCACTGTGCAGCTTCTTTATAATAGCTTTGACTTTCTCATCTTGTGGAAAAGCTGTGTGTGATGAGCTTTGATTCCTAATGTGACTCATCACCGCTGTGATTGGTGGCTGTGGCTGTCAGTGTATTACAATTGTTGTGTGTTGGTATAAAACAGATATTAATACTTCAATAGGTTGGTAAAATAACATTATATCAGATAATTAAATAGGTGTTACTGCAAATTTAATTTAACTCTGTAAAACCTAAAATATTGCTGACGGTTTTTTTTTACCGTAAATTTAACGGAAAGATTTGAACCAAATCACACACCCTACTATACAGATCTGAAGAAAAGTCTCGATAAAGTTCTATAGGGCTCTATAATCTGATTATAGATATTTCTGTGGTCTCTTTACACTGCAGTCGGCCAGAATTTTCCAGATTCCCTGGAAACATGCGGCCCGGCACGGCTGGAACATCGAGAAGGACGCGACTCTGTTCCGAAACTGGGCGATGCACACAGGTAAGGTGCGGACGTCTCCGATTACAGCTCATCTCAAGCTCATCAGCAGTCTGACTCTGTAGCTTCATTCAAACAAATGTTTCATATCATGTTGATATCTGTGAAAAACTAGTTTTTCTAGTCTAATCTTTCATCAACAATATTTTCTTCTTCAAATATCCTGTTTTTTTTTTTTTACATTTTAGTTCAGTTGTGACATAACACTCTTTTATTGGATATTTGATGGTTCCATTGAGATCTTTAATTATCAATAGAATCTTTCTTTACACTTTTAAGGTTCCAGAAGATGGTTTTCAATTGCAATGCCATTGAAGAAGCATTTTTGGTTCCCCAAAATCATTTCAGTGATCAGTTCCTAGAATAACTTAAGAACTTTATCAATGTAAAGAAAGTTTAATAATCTAAAAAACCTTTTGTGGAATGGAAAGATTACATGGATGTTAAAGGTTCTTCATGGAACCATCAATACCAAGAAAGAACCTTTATTTTTAAGTCTACTGTGGAAAGTTTTGGTCCACTTAGTACCACTAAGTATGGTTACTTAGTATAATGTCTAAAGTGGACCATCAAAAAAAAGTGTAACCAAAGGTTCTTCAGATTTCTAAAATGTTCTGCACACTGACAAAAACATGGTTCTTTAAAGATCTGACCACTGAAAGGTGCTTTGGGGAACCAAAAATTTTATTCTATTGCGTTGCTACAAAAACCCTTTTTTGGAAACTTTATTTTTAAGAGTGTACTTGCAAAGTCCCCCCAAAATAATCAGAATAATAGTTAAACATTTTGAAGAATGATAATGCTTACTGTTAACAATCTGCTATTTACATGCATAGTAGCATATGGATTGAACATCAGTAAGCAAATGACACCAGCTCCGTTAAAATTGTCCAGGTTTTACCCAGTGACTGCAGATTTGCTGTAGGGTAATTTCTCACTTGACGTTTCGAGTCTACTAGAAACTCATCCACATTATCTGATTCCAGACACGCGGCCCCAAAAAGCATTTGGACACTAAAGTGGCTCTAAAAAGTGTCTTTTCATTAGATACAAAATATCCAACCAAGTGGCACCAGAGCTTTTCTCAGAATCCACTTCACTTTCCCAAGCCACTTTTAACCGACTGATCTCGATGTGAAGAGAATCACAATAACTATCATCATGTTCAACTTGTTATCAAAATCTTTTTGTCCTCTTTTTATTGACCAATATATCTATTGCTTGTTGTTTTAATAAGCTAACACACTTTATGCTGTGAAATGTTTGACTAAAATTGTGCTGTATTTAAAATAAATGTGACTTGTTTTGATATTTTGATATATAATGCAACAATATGTTTAAATTTTTATTTGCAATACATGTCTGAATAGTTTTTGTGGTCACTGTACCTCTGATCAGCTTCTGTTAACATTGAGATGAGAACAGGTGAACCTTCATGCTCATTTAATGCCAACGTCTGCAACAATGTATACTGCATGCATTTTCACCAAACACTGTAAATATTGGTTCTTTTCTCAAAGTATTCTTAGAGAAGTTAAATAATGCAAGCAATAATCAACTTGGCCAGGAATACAACTGAATTGTTCAGAAACTAGTCCTGTAGATCCTGACAGCCTGATGCCAATCATGCAAACAGCTCTCCTTTCATGGATTTTAGGGAGATACAAACCTGGCATAGACAAACCCGATCCCAAGACATGGAAAGCAAACTTCCGATGCGCACTCAATTCCCTGACGGACGTCAAAGAGCTTCAAGACAAGAGCATCAAGAAAGGCCACAATGCGTTCAGAGTTTATATTCTCCTTCCACACAGCAAAACAATAAAGAGACGCAAAGGTATTTGCTCATCTAAACTTTCGGGATAACTATTTAATATTTCTAGTTTAAACAAACATATAGGAACAGAAGCTTTTATCCAAATATTATAAAAGCTTGTTTCCGCCACGGAATAAAAAGGACGAAAAAAGTCAGAATTGCAAGATATAAACTTGTAATTGTGAGGAAAAAGTCAGAATTGCACGATATAAACTTGTAATTGTGAGGAAAAAGTCAGAATTGCAAGATATAAACTTGCAATTGTGAGGAAAAAGTCAGAATTGCAAGATATAAACTTGCAATTGTGAGGAAAAAGTCAGAATTGCAAGATATAAACTTGCAATTGTGAGGAAAAAGTCAGAATTGCAAGATATAAACTTGCAATTGTGAGGAAAAAGTCAGAATTGCAAGATAAAAACTTGCAATTGTGAGGAAAAAGTCAGAATTGCAAGATATAAACTTGCAATTGTGAGGAAAAAGTCAGAATTGCAAGATATAAACTTGCAATTGTGAGGAAAAAGTCAGAATTGCAAGATAAAAACTTGCAATTGTGAGGAAAAAGTCAGAATTGCGTGATATAAAAATTCAGAATTGCGTGATATAAACTTGTAATTGCGATAAAAAAGTCAGAATTGCGAGATATAAAAATTCAGAATTGCGAGATATAAACTTGTAATTGTGAGGAAAAAGTCAGAATTGCAAGATATAAACTTGCAATTGTGAGGAAAAAGTCAGAATTGCAAGATAAAAACTTGCAATTGTGAGGAAAAAGTCAGAATTGCAAGATATAAACTTGCAATTGTGAGGAAAAAGTCAGAATTGCAAGATAAAAACTTGCAATTGTGAGGAAAAAGTAAGAATTGCAAGATATAAACTTGCAATTGTGAGGAAAAAGTCAGAATTGCGTGATATAAAAATTCAGAATTGCGTGATATAAACTTGTAATTGCGATAAAAAAGTCAGAATTGCGAGATATAAAAATTCAGAATTGCGTGATATAAACTTGTAATTGCGATAAAAAAGTCAGAATTGCGAGATAAAAACTTGCAATTGTGAGGAAAAAGTCAGAATTGCAAGATAAAAACTTGCAATTGTGAGGAAAAAGTCAGAATTGCAAGATAAAAACTTGCAATTGTGAGGAAAAAGTCAGAATTGCGTGATATAAAAATTCAGAATTGCGTGATATAAACTTGTAATTGCGATAAAAAAGTCAGAATTGCGAGATATAAAAATTCAGAATTGCGAGATATAAACTTGTAATTGCGATAAAAAAGTCAGAATTGCGAGATATAAAAATTCAGAATTGCGAGATATAAACTTGTAATTGTGAGGAAAAAGTCAGAATTGCAAGATATAAACTTGCAATTGTGAGGAAAAAGTCAGAATTGCAAGATATAAACTTGCAATTGTGAGGAAAAAGTCAGAATTGCAAGATATAAACTTGCAATTGTGAGGAAAAAGTCAGAATTGCGAGATATAAACTTGTAATTGTGAGGAAAAAGTCAGAATTGCAAGATATAAACTTGCAATTGTGAGGAAAAAGTCAGAATTGCAAGATATAAACTTGCAATTGTGAGGAAAAAGTCAGAATTGCGAGATATAAACTTGTAATTGTGAGGAAAAAGTCAGAATTGCAAGATATAAACTTGCAATTGTGAGGAAAAAGTCAGAATTGCAAGATATAAACTTGTAATTGTGAGGAAAAAGTCAGAATTGCGAGATATAAACTTGTAATTGTGAGGAAAAAGTCAGAATTGCGAGATATAAACTTGTAATTGTGAGGAAAAAGTCAGAATTGCGAGATATAAACTTGTAATTGTGAGGAAAAAGTCAGAATTGCGAGATATAAACTTGTAATTGTGAGGAAAAAGTCAGAACTGCGAAATATAAAAAGTCAGAATTGCGAGATATAAACTTCCAAATGCGATAAAAAAGTCTGAATTCAATTGCGATAAAAAAGTCAGAATTGCGAGATATAAACTAGCAATTGCGAGAAAAAAGTCAGAATTACCTTTTTAATTTTTATTGCTGTGACGAAAACAAGCTTTTCTACAAAGTGACTTTCAAAAGCAATTAGTCAAATATAGCCAACAATGCATTTACTAACAATATTGTTTTGCATGAATTGTTCCTAAATGTGATTTGGGTCAGTTTTACTAATGCATAAATAAGACTGATGTGATGTAACGTGTTTGTCTTCAGCATTACGGTGTTTGGAAACCGATAGTAAAGCAGCGTCGCCTCCACCACCGACACAAAGGAACTTACCGCTGGAGAGATTTACAGGTACTTACCAATAACTCAAACACACCAGCCTCCGTCCACAACATCTGAGCATGCGCATCTCTCCCGTGTGTCCTCAGAGGCCTTCTGGAAGCTCTCAGACGACCGAGGCGGTTTCCCCGCAGAAGCGCTGAGGAAAGAGGATCTCCCCAAGCGTGAGGAGGAGGAGAGGCCGGCCATCTACTGCACACAGGGTACAGTACTGCTCTTAGCTCTTCCTCAGGCCAGCACAGGGCAGTGAAGGGTTAACATGCCTGATTCCCTGTGCAGGACTGCAGATGAACAGAACAGAGGAGCACGAGCAGACAGAGGCAGTGATGAAGGTGAGGTGGACTAACAACAAACACAGTATCTTTTAATGTCTTCATGGACCATTGTCACCCGCTGTGATGAGATGTTTCCACAGTAAAAACATTTGCACTTTCATTTAAAAAAAATCTTATGTACATTTATAATAATATACTTTGCATTATATTAGCCTGGCATACATTGTTGTCATCTTTCTCTCTTCTGACCAACGTAATCAATCTCTCTATCCTCGTTTTCCTCTTTTGGAAAGTCATGAAACGAGGGAAGATGTTTCCACCACAGAATAAAACATTTTAAAAGATAATTGCGAATCTCAGAATTGCGAGATATAAAGTCACAATTGCCTTTTATATGTTTTATTCTGTGGCGGAAACAATTGCGATTTTTTTTATCTCACAATTCTGACTTTTTATCTCAGAATTTCGTGTTATAAAGTTAAAATGCGAGATATAAAGTCGCAATCGCGAGAAATAAACTAAAAATGCGGACTTTTTTTCTCAGAATTGCATGTTTATTTCTCGCAATTCTGACTCAATATCACGCAATTGGGAGATATAAAGTCAGAATTGCGAGACATAATCTCACATTAAAAAAAAAAAAAAAAAACAGAATTGCAAGATAAAAACTCACAATTATCTTTTAAAATTGTTTTATTCTGTGGGAGAAACAAGCCTCCATATGAAACTCTGTTTTCAATTTTGCTAATCAAATGGAAAAGTAAAAATAATGGGCCTCATTTATAAAACGTCCATATTTACAAAAACTGTATTTGAAGTGTAAAGTAGGAGAACTGCAGGTGTTTGGAAATCTCGGCTCTCTCCAGTAAAGGATCTGGACGTTGACTGCTCTTTTATATGTTAATGTCATTAATTACAGGGGGAAATCTAGAGCCACTCAGCGGCCAATGCCCAGATCATCTTCAGGACGGCTTCTGCACAACATCTGATAAACGAGGCCCTGTATTAGTTGTAGTTTCGGTTCACCACTATTGAAGTTTATGACAAGTTTTCAATGCTTGTATTCTATGGAAGCTTGTTTCCGCCACAGAATAAAACCATTTTAAAAGATATTGCGACTTTATCTCGCAATTCTGACTCTATATCTCCCAATTGCCTGTTATTAAGCCAGAATTGCGAGAAATAAACATGCAATTCTGAGAAAAAAAGTCAGAATTTTTATTTTATTTCTCGCGATTGCGACTTTATATCTTAATTGTGACTTTATAACACACAAATGCGACTTTAAATCACGTAATTTTAACTTTATAACACGCAATTCTGAGATAAAAAGTCAGAATTGTGAGATAAAAAAAAAATCGCAATTACCTTTTTTATTTTTTATTCTGTGGCGGAAACAAGCTTCCATAGCATTCATTGGGAACTCAGGAGTCAAGTTCGAAATAATCATAATATAACAGTATGGATTTCACATCAGCTGATGGTCAGACCTCAGGACATCAAAGATTGAGGATCTCGAAGCTTTAAAGGGTGAAGCCTTGCTTCTGTCTGATGAACATGAACAGATGTTGCAGGAGCATCTGGATCTTACACTCAAATATCCCCCAAATGGACCCGTCTGTCCCACAGACTGCGAGAGTTTCAGAAAAACACCAAGAGTTTCAAACCGTCTGGCTAGGTTTTCCAGCGTTTAGTTGCAGCGGCTACTTACCCTGAAACTAACTTCAGATTTTGGAAGCAAAAGTTGAGTTTATCGGTTTCCTCTGAGTAAACTTACCCGGGTTAAGTTGCTTAACCTGCTTTCTGGAACCCCTCCCCGGTCAAGGCCAGACACCGCATCTGTGTCCGTCACCCAGCCAGAACACTTCCACAGCCACACAAGACTTTAGCAGGCTTCACAAACTGGTTTACACTGTTCTTTTGTGTTGAGCTGGAAATCTTTTACTTAATTTGGTGTTCCAGGTCAAAAACAACCAGCTTTTTAAATAGCCAATAAATCTCTCATAATGCTATATCACCAAATATTACATATAATCTTTTTGTCAGCTCGTTTTCTGTCAATATGCACAGGGTTTGTATTTATTTTTGGGTCTGGTTGGTCGTAACCTCATGAGCTCAGTGTCCGAGTGTGCTTTTCTCCGGCAGATCGTGGATCACCTGAAGACCCTGGACCACTGGAGTCCGCCGTACGAGAGCGACCGAGGCTGGAGACCCAACTCCATGTGGATGGGATGCCTGTGTAAGAACACCTTCACATCCTAAACTTGTGTACCGGAGAACTCACTCTTAGCTAATGTAGGAGATTTGCCTTTGAAACCTGTGAACGGCTCTGCTTTCAGGCGAGACGATGGAGTTTTCCGGCTACTCCTTCCAGACAGACTGTCACATTCACAACAGCTCCGGCCAATACGACTGATCGCCACACCGCGCCACACTCCTCCACTCGCCCTTCAGCTGAAGCAGGCGCACTCACTAATGGACACGAGTCAGACGATTCCGGAGTTTACAGCCGGGTCACTGATCAGTGACACCAGTTCCCTGAGAAGATATCAGCCATTTTATTTTCCAAGTCTTTAAATAAAGTTCATTCTGTGGATTAATTTGCGTGTCGCCCTCATTCCCAAATGAACACGAAGGACAAAAATGTGATGAAACGTTAAGAACCGCAGGAACGCTCGATCCTGCCCTGCAGCGTCTACTGGCGAATCCTGAAGACCTTGATTAGCTGGTTAAGCGAAACTCTATGAAAGCTCGCTTCCAATTATGACACTTAAATATGGTGTTTTTAATGTGCTTTTAGACACACCATGTGTCGTTCATAAGTCGACAGCATTGCTGAGTATTTCCTCCTTAAAACTGCAGTGAACCAAAGACAGTCTCAAAAACACGGTTTGAAATCGCTGGTGTTTCTGACGTCACAAACGACCTTGTAACCAATCAGATCAACGTGTGATCGTCAACCAGTGGATCTCTGAGCTGAGGGAGTGAGTGGAGGCGGGGCTCATTTGCATATTCATAGAACCGCGCATACTAAATGAGGCGAGGGTGTCGAGTTACATTCAAGATATTTTAAAGGGGTCATATAATGGTACATGCACTTTTACAAGTTGTTTGTACTGAAATGTGTGTTGGCAGTGCCTGTACACAACCATCATATAATGATAAAAATCCATCCAGTGTTTTTGTTTTAATCTCCTTATATGTTTTCCCCTGCCTCAAATCGAGCCGTTCGACCTTGTGACGTCACACGCTCGGAAGCCCCTCCCACGATTGTTGATTGACAGCAGCGTTTCAACACAGACCCGCCCTCGCTCGTGAGAGCTGTCAATCATAGTCTGCGCGGACCGGCGCGGTCATTGTTGATGTGCCGGAGCACTGTCTATGAGCAGAATGGCGTCTAAGCGATTGTGGTGTTCTGTTCTTGGGTGTAATAACGAACACAGTCATTTTAATGTTCCTAAATCCGAACCGCTGAAGACGCAGTGGCTTAGTTTGTTTTCGAAGGGAATATTCCCCACGAGCAACGTCAATGCTCTCATGTTTGCGCGAATCATTTCTCACCAGACTGCTTTATAAACGAGGGTCAGTATAAAGCTGGATTTGCTAAGAAGCTTTGCTAAAAAGGATCGGTACCAGATATTCGTGTTCCTGCTGAACCTCCAGAAGAACGGAAGTGAGTGAAACGTTTTATTAAACTTTATATTAATATTTATATCTTTGCAAATCGCTAGCTGCACGCTTCACAATGAATGCGTCTAAGGTTTACACTCAGGGTACATTACGGCATGTTTTCTATGTACGAAGTTCTCAATATAATTCATAATCCCACGTTTATACTGAACAACGCGTTATGGTTATTGTGTTACAAACGGTGTAGCACAGAACAGAGGGGCGGAGTCAGCAAAGCTCATTATCATTTAAAGGCATATGCACTGAAACGGCGTGCTGAAAACAGAGCTGTTTTTGACCAGGTAAAATAACTTTTCTTACAATACTAATGAGAATTTTTAATTAAAGTATATTACAAACTTTTAATTTAGACCCTAAAGAATCATATTAGCTTGTACAAAAATGGCATTATATGACCCCTTTAAGGCATGACGACATTTTTTCAAGGAAAAAACATTTAAATATGTCATTTTGGTGATCAAAGATGAGTTTTAAGAAATACAATTATTGACTACAGGGGGACTTTAACAAAAAATGACCTTATCATCAACTAAATTATCAACTAAAATGAAAGAAAAAAATGATTTGCAACGTCACACTTCATTCAAGCCCATGTAAGAATGCGAGCCAGTGAACCGGACCACCCGAGCAAAACCATCAGTCGCGCTGTAGTTTAACCACTTTAATATCAGTGGAAGTCATCATATAAACAGCACAACTGCAAGTAAAAGCAATCAGCGTATTTAATGGGTCGTAGCGCTCCAGTAAAGAGTGAATATGAATGAAACGGTAGTAAAAACAGGACAGTCTGTCGGAGCATCAGTAATCGAAGGCCCGACTGAAGCTGCGTTTCTGAGCGCCTCCTCGTCCCCGCTTCCCGCCGAAGCCGCCGCCGCTGCCCTTGGAGCCGAAGGACCGCCCTCCTCCTCTTCCTCGTCCTCCTCCTCCTCGTCCCCCGAAGCCTCCTCGTCCTCCTCGTCCCCCGAAGCCCCCCGGGGTGCGTTCGCCGGTGAGATGTGGGTTCTGCTCCAGCTCGGGGAGCTCTGTGGCGACGGAGAGCTGCCAGCGCCGGCCGTCCTGCCATTTATCCTGCACACACACACACAAACAGCCTTCGTTCACCAAGCATTTTCCGCATCATTTTTGTCAACAATTTTTTTCACAGACGAAAATGAGACGAGAACTAAATAAAAACCAGTTTTGAATGACAAAAACCTGTTGACATTTTCATCAACGAATTAAAAACTAGACGAAAATGTTCGTTCGGGACGATTAGGGACGAGATCCAGTCAGAACCAGTGTTAAAGGTGCAGTGTGTAAGTTTAGCAGCATCTAGTGGTGAGGTTGTGAACTGCACCCAACAGAAGTTACGGTGGCCGACAGGAAGTGATGTCGTCGTCTGAGACAGCAGAGAGCAGCCAGTTAAACAATGAGGTTTCTTTACAAAGGTAAATTAAGAAATAAGGTTTACTTCATTATTCAGTAAAACGATGTTATTGCGAATATTATAGTTACTTGTTCATCATTGTGTCAGTGTTTTATTTGCTGACTTTAGCAGCTTCTTATCATAAAGAACAACAGTGACGAAATGCATGTGTCCGCTCAGGGCCACCGTAGAAACATGGATGTAAGCGGACCCTCGGTGTGTGTAGAGAGAAACGCTCATTCTAAGCTAATAAACACATAACGGCTCATTATAAGGTCTTTATACTCCACTGAACACATAGTTATGTATATGATATTGCCTTTCTGTCAACAGATCCTCCTAAATATCACACACTGCACCTTTAATTCTTTAATCCTTTAATCTTTATTTTAGTCAACAATTTTTTTTTCACAGACGGAAACGAGACGAGAACTAAATGAAAACCAATTTTGAATGACAAAAACCTGTTGACATTTCGTCAACGGATAAAAACTAGATGGAAATGTCCGGTGGGGGGATTTGGCCAGAACTGATGTGTGTGTGTGTGTGTGTGTGTGTGTGTGGATGATGCCCACGTTTGAATAACGTAGACTAAAACAATTCAGATGACTAAAATATAAACATTTATAACAATATACTTTTATACGTTTTATTAGCTTGGTATTAAATTTGTCATCTTTCTCTCTTCTGACCAACGTAATCAATCTCTCTATCCTCGTTTTCCTCTTTTGGAAAGTCATGAAACGAGGGAAGATGTTTCCGCCACAGAATAAAACATTTTAAAAGATAATTGCAAATCTCAGAATTGCGAGATATAAAGTCACAATTGCCTTTTTTATTTTTTATTCTGTGGGAGAAACAAGCTTTCATATGAAACTCTTTTTAATTTTGACAATCAAATGGAAAAGTAAAAATAATGGGCCTCATTTATAAAACGCCCATATTTATAAAAACTGTATTTGAAGTGTAAAGTAGGAGAACTGCAGGTGTTTGGAAATCTCGGCTCTCTCCAGTAAAGGATCTGGACGTTGACTGCTCTTTTATATGTTAATGTCATTAATTACAGGGGGAAATCTAGAGCCACTCAGCGGCCAATGCCCAGATCATCTTCAGGACGGCTTCTGCACAACATCTGATAAACAAGGCCCTGTATTAGTTGTAGTTTCGGTTCACCACTATTGAAGTTTATGACAAGTTTTCAATGCTTGTATTCTATGGAAGCTTGTTTCCACCACAGAATATTTTAAATTTGAAAAGATAATTGTGACTTTTTATCTCCCAATTGCGTTGAGTCAGAATTGCAAGATATAAACATGCAATTCTGAGAAAAAAAAAAAATCAGAATTGTGAGAAAATGGCATTGTCAAAAGACTATGACTAAACCTAAATCAAAGGGTGCTGTCAAAATGAACACAGAGAAACAAGCCGAGTCAGCGAACACACACACACACACACACACACACACACACACACACACACACACACACACACACACACACACACACACACACACACACACACACACACACACACACACACACACACACACACACACACACACACACACACACACACGTGTGCTAGTGAAACCCGAGAGCGAGTGGCTTGGGGAACGGAGTCAGCTGGACGTTTGTACAGACACGTCCCTCGAGAGTCGCTTTACAAACGACTCCAAACACACATACCTGGATCTCTTTCAGTTTAGCGGCCGGGACGTCGAAACACACACCCTGAGAGAAACACAAACACAAACACAGGACACGTTACACACCGCCTCTTCCCATGCAGAAGATCAAGAGCTTTCCACTCGAACTCTCCGAAGCAGAAGCAGAGCGCTGAGTCTTGCTTTAGTTAGTTTACATTCTCCTGTGATGTAGAAGTAGTTTACAGTGATCCTTCAGTATATCCTGGTGTTAAAAGTGACTTTTTATACTTTATATATGATAATAATGTAATACATTAACAATAACATAGGTCTGCAACGACTCGTTGATAAAGCCGATCATAGATGATTGATTAGTCGGGTCTGTGCAAGGAGAAAATAAGGTGCGCAAAGTTGACTAAAGCACAAGAAAGATTTGCCTTCAACAGTTTAACACACTTTTATATGAACGTTTGTAAGATTCACCATATTCGAGCCGGATCATCGTCAGGCCATGCCAGCAAAAACTAATGGATTTCGCATTGATAGACAAAATCATTTTCGTTTACCGCATCAACAAATGTAATAGCCTGATGCCAGTCTGCATCTGAGACTATCACTGTGTGTAGATCGTGTGTTGTGTGTGTAGTGTGTGTGAAGAGTGTGTGTGGTGTGTGTGAAGAGTGTGT